CACTGGGCTGTCACTGTAACCCCTCACTGTAACACTGGGCTGTCACTCTTCACCACCTGCTGTGGGATAAAGTAGCAGCAGACATCAGGATTTAGTACACTGATATAAAATGAAGTACTTCATTCCATTATCACCAAGCATTGATAAAACTACCTTGACATTGGATGGTACTCGGGCTAGGTATGGGGTAAAACTCCCACTACTCTTTTAAAACGACATTAAAGCTTCCTCGACACTGTCCCCATCAAACACTCCCAGGAAAGGTACAGCATGGGGTTAGATACAGTGTAAGGTTGCATCTACACTGACCCCAGAACTCTCACTGCGTAGGATTAGATACGGAGTAGAGCTTTCTCTACACCAACTCCTTGAAGCACTTAAAAGAATGGTCACTTAATCAGGCTCCTTAATACCTAACCTGCCTCTGGTATCAGATGTGGCTAAGACTCAGTATCTTTACATCAGGGCAAGGAGCTGCGGGGGTGGGAAATCACTCTAGTGGTGACTCTGTGTTCATGTGGGAGGGGCGGAGAGAGAGAGAGAGAAAATCTGTGGCTCTCCACAACAGAGAACAGGAATGTTAGTGAAGGACAAATGTTTAGCGAACTTGTTCCTTACTCTTCCAACAGGTCCTTGCTTTCTTGCTGTTGCTGACCTCCGCCATTGGGTTGATTATCACATTGTTAGAAGACTATGGTGACTACAGGGACCCCACACCTGACAGGCTGAATCCTCTGGTTCTCTATGTGAACCCTTCCATTTACACAGCAACTTGGGTAAGAAGCAATTAGCATTACATGCGATGTGTCTCAAAGGCAAGTATCTCAACAGGATAAGTGCTGACAGCCCTCTTAAGGAGGCATCACAACTGGGTCTTCTTGCAAATTGGAAAGTCTCACTGCCTGAGTCCTCAGTAATCCACTGGGATTTCAGTCTGGATCATGAACTTTTGTCATAGAGTTGTACAGCACAGAAACAGACCTCTCGGTCCAACATGTCCACGCTGACCAGCGATCCTAAACTGATTTAGTCCCATTTGCCAGCATTTGGCCCATATCCATTTAATCCCTTCTTATTCATGTACCCATCCAGATGCCTCTTAAATGTTGTAATTGTACCAGCCTCCATCACCTCCTCTGGCAGCTCATTCCAAACATGCACCACCCTCTGCATGAAAAAGTTGCCCCTCAGGTCCCTTTTATATTTTTTCCTCTCAGTTTAAGCCTATGTTTTGAATGCTCCTACCATGGGAAAAAGGCTTTAGCTATTCACCCTATCCATGCCCCTCATTATTTTATAAATCTCTATAAAGTCACCCCTCAGCCTCTGACGCTCCAGGGAGAAAAGCCCCAGCCTATCCCTGTAGCTGAAACCCTCCAACCCTGGCAACATCCTTGTAAATGTGTTCTGCACCCTTTCAAGTTTTGGCAGGCGTAGTATCTGACCCACAACTTTCTGACTCTGAACTGAGAGAGATGCTTGCTCAGATACAGCCAGGAATGTGCTGCACAGTCTCCCCAGGTCTTCTGACCCATTTTTTTGTCTTTTTGAAACGGAGAAACAGAAATGACGCAGAGAAGGTGCAGGGCAGGTTGACCAAGTTCTTCAGTTCAGAAATGTGGAGAGACTTGAGAACTTGGGGTTGTTTGCTGTACAGTGGAGTAGGCTAAAGTGAGATTGAAAGGAGATTTTCCAAATGATTGGGTAAATAAATGGAAACTGTTTTCACTGATGGGAGGGTGGACAACCTTGGGGGGAACAGGTTTTAGATAATTGGCAAAATTAATTGGGTGAGAGATATTCTTAAGCACAAAATTTGATGTGATGTGGAATGTCCTGCCTGGAATGGTGGAGAAGTAGGTCCAATACTTTTGAAAGGGAACTGGATAAGGACCTGAGTGAGAAAAACCAAAGGGTGCTGGGCTTTATCATAGAATCCCTACAGTGTGGAAACAGGCCCTTTGGCCCCACAAGTCCACACTGAACCTCAGAGCATCCCACCCAGACCCATCCCCCTAATCTACACATCCGTGAACACTACGGGCAATTTAGCATGGCCAATCCACCTAACCTGCACATCTTTGGACTGTGGGAGGAAACCCACGCAGACATGGGGAGAATGTGCAAACTCCACACAGACAGTCACCCGAGGCTGGAATTGAACCCGGGTCCCTGGCGCTGTGAGGCAGCAGTGCTAACCACTGTGCCGCCCCGAACGTGGGGACGAGCAGAGGTGTAGGGTGTGTCAGTCGAATTGGAGCAATTTCAGAGGCATAGAAATCAAATGCTCTCCTTCTGAATGGTAACATAAACTTAATGTAGTCACCATAGTCCCAGAAGACTATAGGGCTGCACTCTCTCATTAGAGAGAGAGATGACTGAGAGAGGAGAGGTTGAGAAGGAAGGCTATCATTCTAATGAAGGCCCAGCTGTTTTCTCTGATGTTTTGTGGGTAAAGGGCTTGGGTGGATTGTGTCTGCAGTACTGAGACATGCCATTCATTTTGACCTACACTCTTCTTTTTATAGTTGATGGTGTTGCTCATCTATGAAAGCAGAAGGCGAGCGAATGAAAAGAACTCCCCTTACCTCTTCATATTCTGGCTGCTGTCTGTTCTGTGTGGTATCTTTACGCTGCAGACTCTAATCAGACTGGCAATTAGAAAGGTATGACCGTGGTTACTGTGGAGGGTAAGGTAAGGGATATTTTTATGTTTGGCAGTGGAAGAGGTCATAATGTGGGTGATAGTGAACTGGCTCCACCTTCTGAGCTCTTGTCTAGACACTTGGCCAACCGTCAATCATTCATTCCTCCTGATATGATAACAGGGGCCTCTGAAAGTCAACAGTTGTATGCATCGTAGTCATCATTACCACCCTCCTAACTGGAAGGAGCCATAGGGCTGCTTTCTCAATAGAGTGAGACAGAGATACAAATGGTGGTAGTTTAGCCTGAGGTTCACCACACCCAGTCAACGGGAGAGATTGAGAGCCATAGAATCCCTACAGTTTGGGAGCAGGTCATTCGGCCCATTGAGTCTACACTGACCCTCTGAAGAGCATCCCACCCAGATCCACCCAACTATGCCTGTGACCATGCTGGCTAACCCACCTAACCTGCACACTATGGGGAAATTTACCATGGCAAATACATCTAACCTGCACATCTCTTTGGACTGTGGAAGGAAACCAGAGTACCCAGCGGGAACCCAGCCAGACACGGGGAGAATGTGCAAACTCCTCACAGACAGTCGCCTGAGGGTGGAATTGAACCTGGGTCCCTGGCGCTGTGAGGCAGCAGTGCTAACCACTGTACCACTGTGCCACCCAGGAAGGGGAGTCTTTCATGTTAATCTCAGCTGGTATGGGAATTGAACCCACACTATTGGCATCATTGCATTGCAAACCAGCCAAGCAACCAACTGAGCTAACTGGTCCCTGCAGTTGAGGTATTCCGTCAGCAATGCCTCTACCACATGCTCCAGATTCAATGGTGGGGAGGGGAACCATCAAACAAACTCCAGCTCTACGAAGCATTCAGGAAAATCTACGAAAATCAACCTTGATGGACTGCACACCAAGCCTGGACAGCTGAAAACATCGCTACTGCTACGTCTTGTTTTCTCAACAAAGCAAATTCTGCACTCCAGATTGTGGGCCATTTGTACTGTGTGCTCTGTGTCATGGGCATTGAGAATGGGCCATCTGCACTG